TAGACGTTAATACAGGTAATAGTGTAGGCCTATGTATAATGTTTGTGAAAATAACATTTGCATTTACTGTGCTGTATAACGTCTCTTAATCTTTTGAAAGTGTAAAAAAAAATATATTTTATTTACAAACAAGTTCATGAATTGTCTGCAATCCTTTTAATCTTAGTATATGCAAGCATATCATACATCATACAATCAAATACTGTAAATAATGGCAATGTTAATATGCTCATTGACACTCACCATTATCAAGCAATATCAACTCGCTCTATCGTGCAGTTGCAGGATAAAATGCAGACACAAATTCAATATTTAAAATAATTTACAAATTCCATAGTTTATTATAACTTTGTTCATTATTCATGTACATGTGCCAGGCTTGATTGGTTTAATTTTATATAACCGCTAAAAAGAAATCAACAAGTTTACTTAAACACTCCTTTAGGCACATGATTTATTGTTAAAAAAGTACTACTGTAACATTAATCTGAATCGGGCTGGCTTTATCCATCCTTTTTCTCTATTAGGTCTTCAGGAAAATCTAAAATGGTTTACATCTGACACTGATGATTGCAATCTGAGGAACAAAATACTGGACCATTTTCTGAACACAATCCCTGCGCTGACTGCTTACTCTATCTGCAGAAAAATATAATGATAAATATATTAAACTGTTGTGTATATTTAGAAAAATAGGAGATAAAATTCAATACCACGTATACAGGCTACAGCTATCTGGCTGCAGCTAGGCCTAATTAAAAGACCAGTGGGCTAGCACCGCACCGCCGACCCCAACAGGGATGCTCACTGAAATACAGGCCTCTACTAGCGAGGCCTAGGCCTCTCTTGACGTTGGCTGAAGTAGAGTTACGAATGACGTGGTATTTACCATTTATGACTTGAAAGTTACTTAATTACATAACAACTAACTTAAAAGTAATATTACTCGTGGATATCGTCTCGTACATTTTTTCTACAAATAATTAAGTGATATGACGTACGTATCCAGGGGCGGATTTAGGGGGGGGGCGGCCCGGCCCCGGCCCCCCTTTTGGGAGGGAAAAAAAAGGAAAAAAAGGGGAAAAAAAGAGAGAAAAAGAAAAAAATGATAGCCCAGAATGCCTCAAATGTTATGTTCGGGCGTCTAGAACACAGAAATTTCGCGGGGGCATGCCCCGGACCCCCTACGACAGTGTTGTCTCAATCGGCCCAACTTTCGGCCCCCCTTCCGCCCCCCCCCCTTTTGGACATTTCTGGATCCGCCCCTGGTATCGGCGGTATACCGACGCCTAGACCCGCTCCGGAAGATATTAAAATGATAATTTTTGTAACTTATGATTCGAAAATGAAGATGCACTTACGATATATGGTATATGGTAAATAGATTATTTAGTATTAGTGTCTTCCCAACATAAAACTGGATTATACAATGTAAGTTACGGAAATAGCGATATCAAATACTGTACTACAAAACTCAGTGCACTGCGAAACAAGAAAAAAAAAATGGCCGATCAAGGTTTGTTTGGCCCAGCGAAACCGTAACCAGGAAACCTGAAGTCACCATGTTTCTCCATTACTTTGACCCCGGGGAGATGCTTGTATCTGATTGGCTTTCACACAAAAGAGGTCACAGCTCGCTGGCGACCCGCTTGCAAGCGGCTGTTCACATGGATCAAGAGCGAGCTGCATCGAGAGCCGCTCGTGAGCGGCTTGTCGTGGGTCACCCACGACAAAAACCGCTCTTAAGCGGTTGTTCACATGAAGGCCCGGCTCGCGAGCCGATCGTTCGCTCGCGAGCGACCCAAGGCATGTGAACGCGGTAAAAAGCTATGATTATAATCCAATAAAAGAGCAATTACCAGAGAAAGGCCTAATGTCCCAAAAGATGGTTGGAAATCAGGAAAATTTTTAAAGGGTAGAAGCACCTCATGAATTCTTATGTAGCAAATGATACCACATAACAACCAAAACCGACCCAATCGTCTCAACTCGTCTATCTTCATAGCAGGGCTGGGAAGGTACCTTCTCCTGTCGACGATTTTCCAACGATATAGGGCCTAGGCCTCACCTCTGGCTCAAAGGTATACATAGCTAGACCTAGATCTAAAAATCTACAACTAAACCTTCCTGTCTATCTTACCACCATTACTACTCAACCAAAATAGGCCTACTCCTGTAGTTTTTTTTTTTATTCATCATACTTGTCATCTTCTCGCTCGCACTTTTTTACACGAACGAGAGAGCAGCAGTGGATTGGCAAGTTAGCGCATGCGCAAAGTTCAAAGCGATTGACTCAAGTGGGAATAAAATCAAGTGGGTACATGGGGAATAAATGATAATTGCGCAGAAATACGTACCTTGACGTAAAATAAAAACACCAGAAACGAAAAGTTCGACTAAATTTAGCCTAGTTTAGTCATTCAGTGTAAGTTTTTGCCCTATTGTTTATTTGTTATGAATTTTTCAAAATGCCTGCTCTTAAGGTCATTTGTGTGCAAAAGAATAGGAATTTTGCTGGGCAAGTTTACCTATACCCCCACTTTCAAAAAAGTACTTATGTTCAAAAAAATCATGTAGCAAAACAAAATTCATAAAAATCCTGAAACATAGGTGAATCAATAGATTGATAATTACTATAATATATAATCAATAGAAAATTTTTGCCCGGAGCTGGCCTTTAACTTATACGAATCTTTCCAATAACTTATTCGATGTACGTCTGCGTATTCGCCATTTTTTCATACGTCGGCATACGCTGTCTAAATCGTTAAGGTGTGACCGGGCCTTCTTCGATCTTAAGAGGGCCTTTGGTACGGTTTGGAGGGAGGGAATGTTAATGGCTGCATGGGATATTGGAATTAGGGGTCGCTTATGGAAGATTATTGACAGTCTTTACTGTGATGTACGAGGAAAAGTTAGATTTGGGGATATTGAAACTGACTACAGTATTTTGATATTAATGAGGGAGTCAAGCAGGGTTATGTTTTATCTCCAATTTTGTTTTGTATTCTCATGAATGAATTCACCATTTTGCTTAAAAAACATGATTTAGGTGTTCGTATACACAATGTATGCATGGGAAGCCTTTTCTGGGCAGATGATGTTGTGTTATTGGCAAATGATAAAAATGAACTGAATAAGATGCTTAATTTAGCTTTTACATTTGCAAAGACATGGAAGCTAAATTTTAACCATGAAAATTTTAACCATGAAAAATAAAAAATTCTTATTGTTGGGCAAGCGCACTGACAGTAATAAGCAGTGGAAGCTGGGTGAAAACTACATTTCAGAGGTTGAATCATATAAATACCTCGGTACCCATATCTCAAGAAGCATTTCAGACCATTTTCATATTGACCAAACTATCATTAAAGGAAATAGAATCATCGCCTACATTAACTCAATTATAGATCGTTTTGATAATTTTAATAGAGTTTATTATGGCGACATACTTTGGAAAACCATTGCTCTTCCAAGTATTAACTATGCTTGTTCGGTGTGGATTAGCAAAAGCCAAAAGGACATTGACAAAATTGAGTCTCTCCAACTTCAAATGGCATGATATATCCTTAAAGCATCCAGAAACACACCAAAAGAAGCTCTATATGGGGACCTATGTTGAGTGCCAATAAAAGTAAATCAAGACATACTCAGAGCTAAATACATTAATCATGTAATGAATTTAGATAAGCATAGATGGCCAAACTTTATGCTTAATACATCCCTTAGTCTAAATAGTATTGCTGAGCCACACTATTAACTGCTCTCTAGTTTCATTAAGACTTGTACTGATATAAGGTTGGAAATTGGTTCAATCTTTGGAAATTCATGCCTTGGAGTTGCATCCGATATGTGTTGGGTTAAAGATTTCAAAGAGTTAATTCTTAATTCATATGTTTTTGGAATAGCGAAATGTTTAAAAAATCGTCACTTTCTGAATATTCTTTAATTAAGAGCAGCCTGAATATGGAAAAATATTTACTTGACCATACAGATTTTATGGGTGCAAGCCTAAAATTCAAAATGAGGTCAAATACTCTTCCATTAGGACATAGGACCTGTAAATGGGTACCCAATAGTGATGGCACTTGCCAATTGTGTAATAATGGTGTTGAAGATATAAAACATTTTTTATTCAAATGTAACCAACTAAACACCATTAGAGTTGAAGAATATCATGTTTTAGAAAATAAGCTAGTTAATACTGATTGCCTATGGGAGTATTTTATCACCAGTGATCTTTGTACTAAATTGAGTATTGTTCTTGGGGGAGAGGTGCATTGTGACTATATTTATGATGTACATGATATTTTTAATAAATTTTGCAAATCTTATGTTAAGAGAGCATGGAAGCTTAGGAATGATTTATTAAGTTCTTAATATGCTAGTTGTTTAGGGACTGTCTATTGTACTTCAGTTCACAAGAGTTTGCTCTGTTGCGGACGATGGTTTCTGGGTGACAAAATCATTACTCTAGGGAGGGGAAAGAAGATGTGTGAGAGTATGTTTTGTGTTCTTGTGACGATTATAAAGACAATGGATGGCTCCTACTGTGAGGCACTGGATTTCATTGTTGTTGTTAGCTGTTTTGACTTTTTAAAAACTTTTTTACACTTTGTACAGCTGTAGTGACAGGTCTCTCTTTTGTTGTAGCTGTGCAGGAGTGCATTCTTGGTTGTAACAGCCCTGTTACGATCAGGTTGTTGGCTGATGGGTGTCTCTGCAGGCGTTCGTTTTCCGTACGACTGTTGCGAAGAGAGACGTGTCATCTAGTGACTGATGTTCCTCTTGTCATGGAGAAAATAGAAATATTTTCTCTTTTAGTTTTAGCTAAATTGATTATCTTGTTGTTTTGATGTCTTTCATTTTGATTGTAATTTTTATATTTTTTCTTGTTGTTAGGATGCACCACCAATGTGGTTGAGTGCCACTGATTCAAAAGTGAATATCCAAATAAATTATTATTAAATTATTACTATTTCAAACTTACTTATCTTCAGGTGCAGCCATGGGATGATTCTGAGGAGGTAGTTAATGAGCTGATTGACAAAGAGGTGGATGACATTCGCGAGCTTGTGGGCGGTGGTAACATCGTATCATCTGCCAACAAGGCAACATCTCTCACCCAACTTTTGAACACAATGAGTCAAAATACGACTAGTAATGGTAAGCTTCATTTTAATTTCTGTGACAGATCCAGGAATTCAAAATAAAGGGGGCCTCAATAGATAATTTTACAGATGGAGGGTCCACAATTCCTTAACGCACCATGGTTCGGTCGAGGTACCAGTAGCGGATTCAAGGATGGCCCAAGTAGCCCACACTCCCCTTCTCCCTAAATTTGTTCAGTTTTGAATAAATGGAAAAAAAAATGAAATTCTTTTCAATTCTTAAGTCTTCTGGCCATTTAGAGGTGCATTAATCATAAATGTTTTTACCTCAGCCCAAACCATGGTGGGGTGGGCCTGAAGTGGTATAGCCCCTTCATCTGTAAAGGTGCCTCTCTGTGCCCCCTCTATTTCAAATTTGTGTATCGGCCACGGGGTACAAATCTTTACATCCTTGGCACTAGATTGCCGGAAAAAGCGCTCTCTTTTCCCCCCATTATTAAGATTTAAATATATAAATAAAATAAAATTCATGATCTAATACTTTGTGAAATTTGGGTTTTGTAGAATATGTCATAGATTGCATGAAAAATAATGATACTACAGTATATTATTTATTATTATTATTATACACAGCAAATAAGTTAATTTGCTGTGTTTTACTTGATCAATAATTAAATTTAATACCTACTTTATTCTTTCTCTTCATTCAACAGATACTAGTCTTGGTTATAAAAGTGAGTTTAAAAAAAACAACATTCTTCTTGTATATTTTAAAAATTACATATGAAAAACATTAATTGCCGAAATTTATCATTATCATTAATTCATTTGTAAGAATGCTTAATGAATATATCTGAATTAATAATGTTCTTTAAGTATTCTTACATGAGTGGGGATTCCAGATAACATCACTGTATTTACATAAACAATCAGTTAACAAATAATAAAAAAAAACTAAATAAATTTTGAAGATCAAAAAGGCACACAAAACAAAGGAAAACAAATCATTATGCCAATAAAAGTACAATTATACAGTAATAGGCCCATTAAACCATCTGAATCATTTTAATTTTATTTAATGGCCGAAATTTATCATTATTATTATTTATTCAGGTGTAAGAATGCTTAATGAATATACCTGAATTAATTATGTTCATTAAGTATTCTTACATGTATCTAGATCTAGATAATGATGATATTAAGATAAGTCTTTATCTATAACATATTTTTAAAAATTTGTCTGTTTCAAAACTGAGTAGTGTTAATCAAAAAATTTATGATGATGACAATGATGAATATAATAATGTGACAATATTGATGATAATGATTATGAAGGTTATAATGATTATGATGACGATTAGAATGTTAAGTTGTCATGATTAGGATAATGGATGATAAATATGATTATAATGAATATGAGTCAAATGGTAAACAAACTTGTTAACGATGACCATACCCTTGTGAGACTGCAGTGATAATAATAATCATAATACAGTATTGAAATGAAAATGATGGGTGTAATGATGAATATGATATTGTTTATATCAAAGACATTCCTAATACGGTAGTTATAATTTGAAGATATTTCTGAATGGAAATTATATTAGTGTTTATAATGATCATAATTATATGTGGCAAAGACAAGCCAAACCAGTCACTCTTCGCAAATCATGTTTCAGAGATAATGGCCAAAACATGCTGAAATGTCAAAATTTGTGAAATCTATTTTATTGCACTAAACTAAACTTTATATATCTATACGTCATGATATGCTGTTATTTTCCCCATTTTCAATGTTAAAACAACAATTTTTAACAATTTGGTGATGGTTTCTGCCTGATAAATGCCCGAAATCATAAACTTTGAAGGCCGATTTCTCAGATATTGTTCTTTAAACAGCTGTATGTTTAAACGCTTGTAACTTCATAACGAAACAACAGATTTCAATGATTCTTTTACCATTTTATAGCTCTCATGTTACTTTTTACCATTGTATTAATAACTGCAAATCGATTCTTGCGACGAGTGACTGGTTTGGCTTGTCTGCGCCACATATGATGATGATGATGATGAAATGCTTGCGATGGTGATGATAATGATAATAATGTTGATGATGATAACGATTAACATTTAGTATCATTATCAAATGTGACAATATTATAATCAAAACAATGATAAATTTTCCAGGCTACAATGCTACTGAAGAGAGAATCAAGAAGGAGAAACGCCTTGCTGTAAGAATCTATGTTATTAGAAAAGTAGTGTTACTCCATTACCGTGTACCTGATTTGACACGTTACTATCTAAAGCTGGGCACACATTCTGTAGTACGACTGTTGTAGGTCTGTTGACCAATGAATGTCTTTGTTCTCTTGGAGCACTTGACACAACGTGACAGCTTTTGCTAGTTGTCAACAACAGACCGATTGGATTGCGTTATTTATGGAATCATGTCAGAATTCTTCTTCTTGTCCACAAGCATTTATGGTTAAATTTGCCCCTGACTGTCTTGCTACGCTTACTTATTCTACACGCCGCTGCTCCTTTTCTTTATCCTTCTTGTTTCAAACATGTCAAGACTGGACAATGCTCATTTTCTATTCTTGCACCTAATTTTTGGAACCTGCTAAAAAGATCAATTACGGACTTCCGCCAATTTAAATCTCACCTCAAATCTTTTCTCTTTTTCCTTGCTTTTCCTCCATAGCTTCAGTTGTATTAATTTCTATGATCATTCAATTTAATTTAAAGTTCTTTTAATATTTTATTATGTTAATATTATAAAAAGTTCTGGACCAATGTGTTACATGTATCTCAGTCCTTTTAGAATGTCTATGTGATGCTGGCCTCTTTTGGCTAGGCCAGAGTAGGGTGCGTGTCAAATTAGTCTAATAATCAAATATGAAGAAAAAAGATAAGCATTCTATAAAATGACAATTCTACTTGAATTTTTCATAGATTTATTGCTAATCGGGAAAGGCTACAGTGTAAATAAATGCCATTATTTTTTTCATTACATAAACATAGTTTAACAGAGCAAGTGTTTGTAAGCACAGATTATCTTATTATTATTGCCATTATTTCAGCAATCTGAAACCTTGCAGTGATGGACTTTCGTGTTCTACCAAAAGCTTTTAATATAAATTTAAAACATGGCAAGGATAATTATTGTGCAATTAATTGAACTCCGACATTAGATAATACTAATCAAATTATATATTTTCATAAATTACCAATGGAATTACAGTGAAAAAAATTTTGATTGCCATTTTCAATATTTACACATTTGTGACATTATATTGGTATCTTTTAGTTTCCAACAAAGAAAATGTTTTTTGTTTGCCAAAATCCTATAGAGAAATTGCAATAGACTGGTTATTGTTTCTACAATTTTGTGCATATCCAAGGTTTTGATTGGTGAAAAGCTTAACCATAACCTAGAATTTCAGTACCGTTACCC